CAAAAAAAAAAAAAAAAAAAAAAAAAGCGAAAACCAACCCTACCTCCTCAAGAAAATAAGGAAAAACAGCAAATAGCTAATTACCTCCCAGGACGACGGGAAGTACGTTATGTACTACTCCGGCGAAGCAAAATCAAACCTGAGACACCACTGCGTCGGCACAGCCATAGCAGACCATCCAGCAGGACCCTACGTCCCAAGCAACACGCCCCTATCATGCCGACTGGATCGGGGCGGGTCAATCGACCCAGCGGGCTTCAAAGACGAAGATGGCAGTCGATACGTCGTCTTCAAAGTGGACGGCAACAGCATCGGCCACGGCGGGGACTGTAACAACGGTGTCGAGCCGCTTGTTTCAACGCCGATCTTGCTGCAGAAGGTTGGCGCCGACGGTGTCACGCCTATCGGGGATGCGGTGCAGATCCTTGATCGCAACACTGCTGATGGTGATGGTCCCCTTGTCGAGGCGCCGAATCTGATCCTCCATGGTGATACGTACTTTTTATTTTATTCGACTCATTGCTTTACCGACCCAGCTTATGATGTGCGCTACGCTACGGCGCAGAGTATTACCGGGCCTTATACTAAGACCAATGTTCCGATGATTAATGCTGCGAATACCGGGCTTCTTTCGCCTGGTGGGGGCAATGTTTGTGGTTGTGGGGATCGCATGTTGTTCCATGGATTCTGTACTGAGGAGAGGACCAGTAGGTGTATGTATGTGGCGGATGTGATTATTGATGGCAAGACGGCATCGATTGCTTGAGGGTTTGCTTTGTTCTTTGTTCTTTGTTCTTTTTCTTCTGAGTCGATCGAATTGTTTGTACTTTGGGTTTGCATCGGACTTTATGTAGTCCGGTCGCTTTGGTATATACCCCGGGTTTTGAGGGCTTGCTTGCGATTTTGGATAGCAATGATATACTGCTTTACGGCTTTACGATTTGAATAAATACTTTTCGGTTTGTCTAGAGCATAGTACCATCCTACTCTTTGATTCAAATAACTGTAGGAAGAGATGACCTTTGAAAAAGCAAGTGAGCAAAGCATATACACACTAGGTATAGCAAATTTTGATCAATCTTCGGGGAGGTAATATTCTGATCCGGACATAAATGTACAGAAATTATATTATTTAGAGGTGAAATTCCGTATATGTATCGTTCTAGGCATGCCTGCATGCACCTATGCTTTATGCTTTATCCTTTTCCCCTCCCTTCGCCTCTCCCTCGGCCTCCCCCTGCCCCCCAGGAGCACGTTTCTTATCCAGTGCTGTTTGCACCCACTCCGGTGCACCCTGAATCGCTTCCTCAGGTGTCGCCTTGTGATTTAGAAGATATCCCTGGATCTCCGCAGCTGTGAACTCGCCACTCGGAACAACAGCAGCAAACTCAGACGCCAAGTCGGAAATGCGGGATCGGAGGGATACAACACCCTGCAGGTCTTTTTCCTGGCCCTTTTCCAACCCTCCATTACTCTCTTCTGAGTCTTGGGCAATCTTGCCCTTTGACTTGGGAATATCACCAACAATGCTGGTTGTCGGCAACTTGACTGGGCCGTTGCTGTGGGTCGTCGGGCCTCCGTCACACGCAATGTCGCTGTCCTTCGCCCCGTAGATCGAGGTGAAAAGTTCCTTGATATCTGCTTCGCTTGCGTACCCGAAGGTGATCTTCATGTCCACACGGCCAGGGCGGAGGAGCGCCGGGTCGAGCTTTTCCACGTGGTTGGTAGTCATAATCAGGATGCGGCCCTCGCTGGCCGCAACGCCATCAATCACATTCAGAAGGCCTGAGAGCGTAATTCCCCCTTTTTTGGTCGTGTCTTTGGAGGCTGTACTATCCGCCTCAATGATGCCGTCCTCGGCGGTTGCATCCTTCACCGGGGTATCCGAAGTAGATGTAGATGCGGCGGTCCGAGCCTCTGTAACACCTGCTGAGTCGATATCTTCAAGTAAGACAATGCATCGGCGTGGTAATTCCGAGAACAGCAACGATAAACTCTCCTCGTCCAAGGCTGTGGAATTCAAATCAAGCAAGTAGAGCTTCAATCCAAGGATTCCGGCCGCTGCAAAGCACAGACTCGTCTTTCCGGTCCCCGGAGGACCGTGTAGAAGGTATCCACGCCGATACGGGATTCCGCGGTTTGTGTACCAGCGCCGCGTGCGGGGGTGCAGGTATTCCTTGATATCATCGAGGAAGTCTTGCTTTTGCTCCTGGTCAAGAATCACGGTAGAAAGTGGACGCGGTAACCGGGCCATGCGCCGATACCAGTTGAAAGATTGGCCGGCGCCGCCAATCCGCGAGCCGCGGTAGATTACCGTGCGGTTTCTGTCGCGGTCAACAAACGCCTGCTGTGCCTCGGCTAGCAGTGTTTTCAGAATCGCGGGATTCCGACCGAGACACGATAGGAAGATCCGCTCGTTGTTCATGACGTACCACATACCCCCGTCCCGGTGTTCGCGCTCGAGCATGAGTGGGCGGTTCTTGTACCAGAAGTAATGGCAGCCTTCCGAGGGAGTAAATTGTATCTTCTTGTACTTGTCCCGGGTGGTGACCTTGGCCCAGTACGAATCGAAAGAAGCATCTTTCTCATGCTTGGCAGTCTCATCTTCGTCGTGCTCGTCGTCCTCCAGCTCCTCGTCGTCTGTTTCATTCTCGCTCCAGTAACTGTTGGTTTTGACGCCCGCGACGAATCGATTTGTATTTTTCATATGCGACTGGCGTGAGATCCAGAACATCAAATACTGGAATGTCTCATCGTCCAGGCGAATCTCGGCTCTTGACACGAAGAACTCATTGAAGTGCTCCCAAATGATAAGAAAAGCGTATCGAGCAGTTGCGCCAAAGACAGCAAGACTTACTAGGACTTGCAGGTAGGCGCTGACATCAAGATCGAGGTAGGACATCAATATGCGTGATATGAAGCCATAGCCGGGGACTAGGGCTTCCAACATGGCGGTATCCGTTGTGGACAACGGCCCCGTTGTGGTGGGGATTGTTTGGTTGGAATTCATAGTCGACAGACCTCGAGATTCCGAAATGATTCGATCGGCTCGTCGAGGAATATGATGGGAGGGAAAGGGAGAAGCACCCTGAATAGCAAAATAAAAGCAAACTCCAACCTTTTATAGGCCCCGGGAAGAGCCTCATGTGTTGGCCAGCCCGCTCACAGGAACTCGCCGAGCTGAGCCTGACATGCACCTGACACGGGCACTCAGCTGGGACAGGCGGAGAGCGGATTGGAGTGGATTCCATTGGGCTGCCTAGGTGCGTCTGCCTGGACCTGACTCATTGATCCTGCAGGTCGCTGCGGTGCCATTCCTCCCACGTCATGTCCCAGAGTCAACAATGTCTTTTTTAACCGTATTAGATTAATATTAAGAAGATTTAAAAAATATAAACCCAAAAGGGAAAACCAAAAGAAAACTCTCCCTCGGGAATCGAACCCCGGTCTCCCGCGCTTATCGGTGTTAATGACAAGCGGAATCAGGGGGGTTCTTGATGCCCGAATGCCTTAATTAGCACCGCTCTCTATACAGGGTACTGTAAATCTCCCAAGTTCACGTAAACATGAAGCTTTTGACCCCATACAAGTCTCTGCATCTCCAAATTTTGGGGTGGTTTACTAGCTCTCTCTGGTCCGTGTAGGAAAATGAAGCTTTTTATCCATACAGATCTCCGCACCTCCAATTTTGAGGTGGTTCAGATATTCCAATGGCGACCTTGAAGACCAGGGTCCGTTAATGATGACAAAAGCACGATTGACTAGTTTTCAGAGCTGGAAGAGAAGGATATATCACATCCACTGGCGGATACTTTTGCTCCTGTCCAAGGGAGTGAATTTAAGAGATCCCGTAGACCCGAATTTGCGAGTATAAAATAGGACGCTCGCCATTGAAGTTAACCCAGTTTCGAATACAGTCAATTCTCCAACTCTATTTCTCGCTCTCCTTTTTGGCACTTCCATCTACTTCAGACTCGTCCTTATGTAAGGAGGAGTGGCTCTGCAAAGTTTCATTGGAAAGCTTAGGTCACATTCCTCCCATAAGGAGAATCATTCGCATAGCTTTGCTTCAGTGCTCAAGCTTTGGTCGTACCTTCTAATTCGCACGAAGTGGCGCGCGGAACTGGCAAGGGCGTTACAACGGGCCCTTCCGACGTCACATGAGTTTTTAATTGGCTTTCTGGTTATGCGAGATCTCGGTTGCGTGGATGCTGGCAACAGCTTGAGATGTTCTCCGTTGGAGACCAACAGACTACCTTGAGGGTGATCACATGCGAATCCTGGCTGCTGCAGGTTTCCTTGGGTGTCAGGGGGTTTTTTTTCTCTTTTCTTATCCGACTAAGCTGGTAGTGATGGTTATATCAAAGGATATCGAATAAACATACAATGACCGGCTACCAGAGCTTTTGCGGACAGTTCTCCCACGGCGGTTTCAACACATACTCGCAGACCGACTTTTTAAATTTAAAGTCGCCCCAGTCGGGTGTGGCTGATGTCGTGGCGAATGTGCATTCGATGCATCTGGTCACCAATTCCAGGTAGAATGGAAGCATATTATCATCACTGAAACTGAGCCATTGCCTGGCTATTTCATAGCGGGTTCCATAACTGTCATTCTTTTGTAAATCCCTCTCGGACGCGTAACTGTCGATAGATTTGATATGCCAAATTTCCAGGAGCATTATTCCCAGCTCCAGAAGGGAAGACTTTGCGGTACATGAAGATGTCGTATGTTCCTGGATAGGAAATGCGCTCACGATAAACGGCCGAGGTACGTTTGCGCACTTTAGAGAATCAAACATAAAGCGAATAGAGGAGCTGGTCAGAGGAGATGTCAACCATGGTGTAGAGTGAAGTTGCATGATGGAAGATGTGATGTTGAACGAAAGAGCCATCTGTTGATTTATTGTCCATTTCGGCGTAGTGGATTTTGAATCTTGCATCATGAACAAGACATACCTGAGTGTGAGAGTATCATGAGGAACCTCATCATCATTGATTTTTGTATTTAAGCCAGGGTTTGCTGAACCAGTGCGGTAGCAGAGTTTGGCGCATCGCGATAAGTAGAGATCAAGTGGCTGTCTGCTCTCGTATGCCCGATGGATGGATTGACAGAGATCTTCAATTTGTCGCGGTGAAGGACTCGGAGTCCTCGGAGGGCTAGGAAGATTTATTTGCACCACTTGTGGACTCGCTCGGTGGTTTTGAAGTCTAATTTGTTGTCAGCGTATATCTAGTAACAGGGAGGTTCAAGTTCCACCTGTCTTCGAAGTGGTCCAAATCTTCTTCTAACACCTTCACCTCGTACGTATTGTGTGCAAACGAGGGACGCAAGGGGATTGGACGCGGAGAAAATGTCAGTATAAAGCTAATGGCTGTCTTCTTCAGGGACTTTGGGTGTATCTTATCCATTTCTGACGATCTTGTTTGCAGAAACAGTCTTGCCTCATGCTCTGGATGACACCCAGCTATGCAGCCACCAGAGATAGCGGAATACAAACGTTGGGCGTAATTCTGGACGACATTCAAGGCCGCTGTGAATTTGGTGATAGTTCTAGACATGGGCTGGACTGTGACATTCTGTCTTGCTATGCTATGATCCCTCAATCGGCTTAATGTCTTGGTGGATTCGTCTAGGTCACGGATTTGTCGCTGTAAATCTTCTTTTCGGACGCTGAACTTGATCCGCTTGGTAAATTCGAATTTGCCATTTTTCTTTGGCTGCATCTGAAGGATTCTTGGGAGGTCACTCTTATCCCACTATGACGACACTGTTAAGCCTTGTATCAGATACTGAGAGTGGACATGGGTACCTGTGTTGTTGACACAAGACCGCCGATATTGGCGACGATATCGCCGAGAATATGCTCGCATCGAGCGACGGCATTGGTGTACAATGTAAAGCCTTCCCCAAGATATCCTTTAAGGGCATCGGCAACCTCTGGCTCCTGGAACAGATTCAAACCCCGTTCATCAATCAGTGCGATGATCTGCTGTTCCTCGAGATGGGTTTCCTTGAGCGCTAAGCAAATATCGGTCTGGAAAAAGAATTTTTGCTCTTTTAGTGACTCAATCAATTGATTCAGGAGTAGATCTTTCTTGGTCATAAACTTGATCCTCTGACTAGTGGCTTTGTAGTAGTCCAGGGCAGAGATGATTAGCGGGATGGCACCAGCACGACGCCAACAACCTCGAAACCTGACATATTGGTCCACTCTACGTGGAAACCATCAAGAAGGTGTGTCGTAGAAAGGGGCAGTTACCAACGGGGGTACGGCGGTTTATCGAAAGCGGGGTAGTCAGTCGAGTGCAGGAGGTTGGTTGTTATTGGGTGATGGGCTGGCTGGACCATGTTTGCTTTTTCCCATCACGCAACCTCAGATCCTTCCCTTCGATATTTCTTATATCGCACTATCTGTTGAAGGAAAATTATTGCTGATGCTTCTCTGGCAGGAGTTGAAACAATGGTTGAAAGATTAACGCCGAAGGGTCTGGCCTCTATGGCACAGAAAGTCAGCGACCGGTTTGCCCTGGCGGGGCGTTCGGTCGCAAGAGACAACCACGAATACAATTCCAAGCTTGTCAATCAAACACAACGGTTTGAACTGTGGCCAAAAATTTGGGCCTTTATCATCTAGGCCATAGCTCCCTCGACTACCGATTCCGAGATGCACCCTCTCTTTCTGAATACACTGTCAGTCTGTTGCGTAATCTGGAGGGCCTTCTGGTACAGCGTGAGTCGTTCGCCTTCTGTCTGTATAGCTTGGTTCAGAGTGCTCACAGTGCCTCAGTCATGGGTACACTTAGCCCTGGACATCTATCTAGTGTGGATACAAAGAACACGATAGATACCCCCATTGGGACCCATGGACAATTTAGTGATGACTCAGAAGAAGATGACTTTGATTCTTCTGACGATGAGTCCATTACGGAGTTGTTATTGGGTAGTGTGACTGCCACTATTGACAAACTCTATCGCCTCTCGTTCAAGATACGCAATCCCGCGATGAGGCTGGGATTTTCCAAATCGCTCAAGTATCATAAATTTGACACGGAAAGCGGCGTGGATCTTATAGAAAAGTTCCGAGAAAATGATCAACGTCATCTTGAACAGCTTTTCGCCTCTTACCGTTCGATCTCCCCGGCGAATTTTGAAAAAGATTTCCTGGTTCGACATCTAGCCGCAAACACCCGACGGCGACAACAGTTTGGATATTGGAAGAAGAGAAGAGCTCAGTTTGAAATACTGTCCAAAACAGAAGTTATCGAAAAAATGGCAGCCGGCTTCATACCGTGGGAGTCAGAAAATAGTCCAAACCTGAACATGCCTGTTGTTCCGATAGCGTCTTCACGACCTTCAACAGCAACCCATCTCGATGTGTCTAAAGTCAAGCTGGACGATAACGCGTCAATATTATCAACTTCAACTATAGTGAATATGAAAGATGAGGAAAATGGTGATTTTTTTTTCATTCCACCACCCCCAAAGCATCTGTCAGACGGAGAAGAGTTTGAATGCCCCTATTGTTTCACTCTGTGTCCGCGCAGAATGCTCCGTCAACCGGACTGGCAGTAAGTAGGATAAGGTCTTCAAAATGCGGCAGATCTATAGCTGATGATTAGAAGAACTCATATTCTGCGCGACTTACGTCCGTATATCTGCACTTATGAACACTGTAGAGATGCAGATCAACAGTACGACAGCCTCGGCGATTGGATCAATCATGAAACCTTTACGCATCAGAGGAAATCCGACATGACCAGCAGTGACAATGGAAAGCCGTCTATTCAAGAATCACGGAAGTGCCCATTTTGCCTCGAGGACGCAGGGCCCCAGCATATCGCAACTCATCTTCGCAGGGTGGCCTGTTTCTCCCTTCCACGATCGATTGGAAGTGACAATGGATCTTCACAAGGCAGCCAGATATCCGGTGGAGCGGACATTAGATCAAACAATACCAGAGTCTCTGAAATAAGAAGTGAGACCTCATTTGATGGAGCTGAATCTGTTTCTGAAGATGACCCGGAAGTAAATTTGAAAAACAATCTTCCACTCACTTTGGAATCCCTCCACCAACAGCAACCAGATCCCAAGGATGAGGAATCGAAAGTGAACAGGTTTTTGGAAATGCTAGAGAGCGAGGCGGCCGAGAAGGCTGCTCGAGAGCAGCCACTGCCCCACTACCGAAAAGTCGCCGAGGACGCGGCCAAGGCCAAGGACGAAACCGACATGGCGGCTGCTACTGCAGCGTCAGAAGCGGCTACGGCCGTGCCGGTGGCCGTCGAGGCGACAAATAAAGCAATGGTAGGATATGCTGAAATGCTATCTCCGGAAAAGAAAAGGCCTATCAAGTTTAAGGATGCCGTTGGGAGGAAGTTTACCTTTCCTTTTGTGCTTTGCAGCACATGGCAGGTAGGAATGATTCCTTTCCGCTGCTACTTGATTAATATACTTAAATAGAACTAATCATAGTTTGTAGGGGATGGAAGACCTTATTCAACAGGCTATTCTAGACGTTGAGGTTATTAGCCCTCATGTTGCTAAAGGTCACTATAATCTAGTGCGCCCGAACGGCGATATCATTCTTCCAAAGGTTTGGGAGGCGGTAATTGAGCCTGGCTGGACTATCAACATGTATATGTGGCCACTCCCCGAAGAGCGAAAGGTAGCGGACCCTGCCCCGTCTGGCGACCCCCCAGCTGATATATCCCCCGGCTGCACCGGAGCCAAATAAGTCCGATGATGCGACTTGAGAATCTAGAGATCGGACCAACATACTAGGTATGAGCCGAATCGAAAATGGATCGTTCGTAGTTCCATATTCAACGATGTCCTCCTCGACGACGGGAATATGAGGGTATTCGAACTCGTTTAGCTTGTGGCGTTTGTAACCTAGGTCCATATTGTTACTAGATGACAAGCAGTTACGAAAGTATGAAAGTGGAGACGTCGATAAGTGGAGAAAGCGTTTCTGCCAGTCAGGAGAGCTTGGGATGATTTCACCCCATATTATTCTGCCAAGGCGGCGAGGGCTAAATCGGCCTTACAGCCTCAATATCACCTAAATTAGTATAACTACTGCGGCAACAAAACCTTAAATTGAAGACCATCTAAAACATACAGCCTCTACAAGTTCATAGTGTATTCATTTTCTTGTTTATTGATCTGTAAGTGTGTCTTCTAATGTTTTCATCTTATTAGAATACCAACTATGTGCTCACCTGTAACCACCACGGTAATATATATTCCTCGTGTCAAAGCCATTTCTACATATCGACCCGACTTTATTCGCATCCACCAGTCCTATACCCTCAAAACCCACTTGGTCCAAACATGGCTGATTATAGTAGGACGCTGGGCAATGGGAACTTGATTGCCTAGGTTGTCTGGGGTTTCACCGGGCACAAAAACAAATATCTATGAATCTGCCACTGAGTACACCGCTCCCTTCACTTTGTCCTCCATCTCTATCTGTTTTGCTTCCCACCCTTCTGACGCAGCGGACTCAGCAACTCTCTATCTCCATCCATCTCCATCTTCTCTTTGTTCATAGCAGTGAAAGCCGTGGCCACGGAGAATCTCAAGCCGGCAGACAAGAGAGGGATACTTTGATGCATCAGAGTGTGAGGACCGAAGTCCTGAAATTTTTTTTTTGGCTGGAAATCCGGCTCCTTTTATGTCAATTTGGCTACGTCTCTTCAGAGGAACCAGCTGCGCACATCCTAGCGGCGGTCACTGTCTCGTTAATGGGGGTTGAAGTGCTTCAACGGACGCTGAAATAGTGGTTTGGAGACTTTGTGGCCGACAGTCACGCGCGATTGTACCCGTGGTTGGCCTTCCTGCCTCCTTCTGCTTTTATTGATGATGATATGTGGATCGGTAAAAGCTAAGACATGCATATACTAATCTCACATGGTGCTTATCTAGTACTTCGGTAAATTCAAGAAATATGGTTATTTTACACATACAACAAAAACGGCTTGTGATAAACGAGTAAAGGAAAAAATGACAAAATAACACCTCAACTGCCTGCCAAAACGCCACGATTCCTCTCACCGGCTAAGTTCCCTTGCTACCCAGGCTCATTGGATCTGAGCCCGCCTTTCCGTTGAATCCCTTTTCTATATCATTAATACATTATGCTCTCCCGGCTTCGACATTGAAAGACTGCAAGTGCTCAGGTCTCACAGGTCGAGGTGGTGGTATCTTTGACTTAGAAACCCGGGTTGGAGGGGTCGTTGGATGATCCAACGTAGACGGGATGCCACTCAAAACATCATTCGAGCAGTTCGGAGACTATTATCAGCCATCATGTGAGCATTTCTATAACACTTGGATTTCCCGACATGAGAAATGTAAGAACTGAGACAAACTTACCAGGCATATACTGCATGATAGCTGCCTTTTCGCTGACTCTGGTCGAGGTGGACACGAAGGTCGATTCAATTTGGAGATAACATCATCAAGCTCTCTTCGAAATTTCACTTCAGTCTGGGGAGTTTCCGATGCTGAACCGATGCTTATCCTTGGTGGGCCATAAGAATCTTTTTGAGACAAGTCTCTAAATGGCCCTGGCATCACTACCGCCGTATTTCGCGGCGGTAAAGGTGGTCCTGGAGGTTTATTCACAGGCTGACGGCATGTTGTTTTCTCTGACTCTGGTTCATTCCTTTTTCGAAGTGGAAATGGAAATGGCCATGCCCTGCCTGTGCTAGGCTGAGCACCTGGTTTCTTCTCCTGACTCTGAACATTTGATCCTTGTATGTCAAGCAGTCTTGGCTGAGAGTTTCGTGGGTGTATTGGCCTTGATGTGTTCGCTGTTGGAATCTCAGAAGAGTGCTGAACATGTCCCGCCACAAGCACTTCGTCGGCGGGGGCTTTCTTGGTGCTAGAACTCCACTTTCTGCCCATCGACAAGAGCTGTGTCTGAATCTTTATGATTCTGCCAGCTTTTTCAACGTTCGCATTTCCAAGGACGTCACCATATTCAATAACCATATTTCCTGCAGTATCCAAGACATCTTCAGTCATCTTTCCCAAGGACAAACTTTCCTTTTGGGCTTGCACCTGAAGATTTTCCCATTTTGGCTTTTGCTCAGGAGGACTCAACTCTTGTTGTTGTTGAATGTGAAGTTTCATCTTTTCGAGCATATCCTCAAGCTTGGTTCGTCCATCTTCAATTTCGCGTTTTACCAATGCAATTGCCTCAGTGTTATCGCTCGTTTTGCGGTTCACATCATCAAAAGCCTTGGTATTTGCTTCAGTCGTTTGTTTGGAAATCCGTTCCAACATTGCCACCATCATACTTATGTCTTGGATAGCACAATTTGCATGATTGAATTTCTCGTCAGCCTCACTAAATTTCTTGTCGTGTGCTTTTAAGTGAGTTTGGTGTCCTGATGTCACATCAGTCACGGTCTTCATGAGCTGTTCGATGTCTCTGCGTAACTTCTCCCCTTCGATAGGCTTATTTGGAGTGAACAAGTCTCCGGAAGAGACAGTTTGCAGAAGACATCTAGCGTAGACGGCGGCCACGGCAGCGGCATAGCCTTGCCATTGTTTGTTCTTATGCGAGTCCGCATAGTCACAGACGCCTCGGATCGGAAGAATTGGTAGGTCTGGCAAGCAAATTCCAGCCGATTCCATTTCAAAGCCTAGGAGATTGAATTCCTCGGTCAATCTGTCCCGTTCAATGGCGTCTCTAAGCAAGATATCTGCCGAGCCGATTCGGCCACAGTGAACTTTGACTTTGGCGTAGGCTTTACGCGCCTCTCTTTGAACCAGTTTGTCGGAATTATCTGAATGAGCACCGAGACAGTCGCATGAGCTACAATGCGTATAGTCCGACCGGTATAGGCGATCAGAACCACTGTGCGGGCGCTGGAAGATATCTATGATTTCTTCATTTCTGTTGAACCTGGAAGAAACGATGTCGTCCAACTTCATAGAACCTTCTGCCATTTTTGCTCGGACGCTGTTTATTGTTGATAAGAGATCACGCGCAGAAATAACGTTGTGACCAATGGCCTCGCGCCGATCTGGGTGTTGCTTGATGAAGGAGTAAGGAATCGTCGTGGTTCCGATAATGACATCGCCGAGCCTCACGTCGTTCTTTTCTGTTGGAGCACCCCCGGCGATCCCCACCATGAGTGCAAACCGAACCAATGGGAAGGTGTTTCTTAAGCCATTGGCAACAACAGAAGCAGAATGTGTTCCGATCAAACTAGCGGGAAGGGAAGCAATGACAACATGAAGCTTCCCAATCCGCCCAAATGTGTAGTGATTGGAATCATTGGCATGTTGACTAAGTTCAAAGTCTTCGTATTGCACGTCAAGCACTTGTCGTGCAGCGAGATACTCGTTGTAGAGTGCTGTAATCCAACCAACCCGGAAATCCTCGCGACGGGGAAGTTCCCCGGGGTTCTCCATTGTACGTATATCTCACGTGGTGGCGGCGGAATGGAGGCGAATCAATTCAAGTGGAAGAGATGTGCCGACAAAGAGAGAAGATAGTCTGCTGGCACAGCTTATCGTAAGGAAGCGAAAGTAGGGGGTACTCTATGGCACTGTGTAGCAATTCTTCATTAGAGACATTCCCATATATGGAGTGTAAATGGAGTTCAGCAACGTACAGAAGAGACCAGAGGTTGAGATTTGGTATATTCTAGTGGACCAGTTCAGTAATTCTGGGGGCCACGGAGATACTTATGCGATAAATCATGTACCCTACAAGTTAAATCATTGTACTTGAGGTGCACACTACCCAGATTTGACCCTGCAGCTAGAAAAAGGGGATGTGGATTGTATCTATCTTTTTTATCTCAATTCGGATGCACCTGGGCGCACACCCAACCAGATGTGGTATATCATGCAAGTGCGCATCCCTACCCTATGTGGAAGGACACGAAGGTGTCGACCCTATCCTTCTAGAATGCTGAGGCTTTTTCAACCCTGCCAAAGTAGTGCGACACGTCACGGCGCTTCTCTTGGCATGAATATGCTCTTTCCAAACCAGTAAGTCGAGTCAGTCTGTAACATGGTGGCGGAATTGGCGGGCGCACGTTATCGCTCCTTTAACGGGGTCGCCCGACCTTGATCGTAAATTGGCGAACAAGGTATGGTAGTCCATCCGGCTTTATGCCCTCAATAAGCAGTACCGACAAGTCTGGAGTGTAAACAAGACGATCTGGACGATTCAGTCTAGATATCCGACCTAACGTTGATTCACTGCCCGGGCAAGGGACATGAAGGTGAGGCTTAGGTTGAGATATCTGAAACAACGCGCACTATGAAGCCATCTAGTCTAGCTGAGGTTAACGAGTGGGGCACGAGGTAATTTGGGTTCGAGGAATACCGAGCCCGCAGATCGAGTCCAATCTATGATTCCATGCAGTTCCTTAGATAAAGATCTCTGAGTAAATTAATATTTTGCATTAATTTCTTACTGTCCGCACCTCGGCTTGGCTTTCATTAAATTGCAGGGCAATCTTACGTATTTACATGCTTAATGCGTTTCATCAAATCAATAAGCACTACGAGGTGCAGATACGGGGTTGTCGAATATTTATGGGGTAGAGTGCGACTGGAGCTGAATTAAGAGGCTAATGCGGGCTACTCACAACCCAGGTACGGGTTAGACTGTTTCACCTGGTTTGGATCTCATGACACCAATCGTGGGTCAACCCCTTTTCACCCTAGCCCTGGAAGCCAATGAACTCTGCCTTGCACCACGCCTGTAAGCCTTATCACACCGGATTTACCCCATCACGCCGGCTTTACCCCCTAAAGCGGCTCTATCACCCTGGTGAATAGTCTCATGGACCTTTAAAACGCTGACGTGGTGAATCAACCAAGCCTCGATTACCTATGTTTGCCAAGCTCTTTATGGAGGTTGCACCGATGCTGCTCCGCCTTCTTTCCTGGGGCTGTGGGTATGAAAGCAACAAAACTATACAGTCTAGATGCGTTGTTGATATACAACGAGTCTAGCTTCAGCCACATACTTGCCAGATAAGGTAAAAGGTAAGCAGATTCTAAAGTTTGCCCCTGGCTGTTGGGCCACCAGGGTCCCGAGGCGGTGAACAACGCGTGGATCAACAAAGAATGGTTGTCATGGCAGGCTCCGCCTCACTTATTTCTCAACAGGTCCATTGGACCAAGCACTCGCCACTGAGAATGTTTTCAATGCGTTTACTGCTAATTCACGCGTTCACATTAGATATATTTGGCGGCGGATCTACCGTCAATTAGGGTTGTGATGTAAATACTAAGACAAACACATAGTCTTACATAGTGCTTACCATTACTCCGTACTTAAACAAATGATCCCATTTGAATTAATAATTAATCGGGTCGTCGAACGCGGCGTTCCCGGCCGTAACCTCACTGCGACGACATTGATATCACCATGAATAATGTCCAGTTCTTGGTTGCCCGGAAAGATGCATATCTCTTCACTGGCGGCATAAATCGTTTTATGGCCTCTTCCTCCTAACATTATCCTATACTCTCTCTTTGCTGTAGTGGACATTTGCACGCGAGTCCAGTATCATGATCATGGTAGTGCCTGCTTGAATCCAGACCGCCGCGAATATAACACTCCTTCTATGACAATTCCTAGTACGCTTCAAGCCCAATCTTCCAACGATTAGCCCGTGAGGCATCCTGTCGAGCTTGGATACAATGAGCTCATAGGGTAAATGTCTGAGCCGAGAATGATCCCATATGGGCAGACTAGAGGGGAAAGTCCAATCTTGCTATCGGGACGAGTGTAATGTATGTACTGATATCCATCTCGTCTCCATTCCCCTAGCATGCTCACAGGGAACACGTGCGTAGCCTCGAGGCCAAGGAAAGCGGTTTCAAAGCTGCTTACCCTACTCGCGCCGGTAATTGCACAGAAACCATCATTTTGGCAGAGAGTGTTGTGAAGTGTCGTTCATTATAGAAATGATTAGCTCTTTGATTATATGCCTTTGACTTCATATCGACTCTGCCGGGTGGTCTCGCAATGCGGCTTTCTGATTTACGCTTTCGAGACCAAGCCAACAAGCAGGGTCAGGATAAGAGTAAGAATAACTTTCGGACATCCAAAGTGGCGAGCCCATGCAATACATATGGTTGAAGATGGCAGCACTACCGAATGGTCTTTGAATATATGAACCTGCATCCCAGAGCCTGAGTCTCTCGTCAGAAGACCCAGGTCGACGTTCATAAAGAATGTGAGCAAAAGGCTCACAACAATATACTATATATCTGATCCGGAAAAAAGATTTAAAAATTAAAACCCGCTAAGAACCTGCTTTTGGCTTTCACCCGTTCCAGGGCTTATCAACTTCCTAGGATTAGCTTAGAGACTATGGATTTATCCTTCAAGCCGCCCGAGTGAAGCGAGGATTAACGGCTTGTACATGGAGATAGATAGTTGCGGTAGCCTGCATATCGCTTCAGTGGTTGATTATACTATCCACTAGGTGGGTTCGGATTCGTGGTTTGGTCTACTTACTGAATCAATTTCGGCGGCAGCTGAGGATATGAATTGAGATAGATATGCGATACTTTTTCTATCCAGGAGCGAAGATGCAGCCATTTATACTCATAGCCGCTGCTCCTGGTCACGGACAAGGACGCCTCGACATCTCATTTTGCCATCTCTGAGCTTTTTCATGGCTTCCTCAATCCCTGACTTGGTCAAATGAAATTGCACACGTTTGGGTATAGCTTTTTGTCTGCAACAAATCGAAGTAGGCTGCGAATGGAGTGACGGGGAGCGACCATGGATCCTTGAATTGGAATACCCTTGGTATTCAACGAAAATAGCGATATTGGCGTCGCGCTTTGGGCAGATGTAAGATGGTAAATGGTACTGTCGCTATCACCAAGCGGACAATCCTATTCACGGCCAGAAATATGCGCCTTGAAATATACATCTGGGAAAGAGCACACATTTGGGGTTCGGTATATGTAGTTCCACATAAAACAAGGTATTTGAGTGGCTTGATGGCACCTCCGGACTGATTAACCCAGTACTCGGATGCGCCGAGCTCGAATGTCTCGTCACGTTTCTTTTCTGAAGAAGAGATTGCAACCATATGGTACCCCATAGCGGCACTCAGTTTGATAGCAGTATGACCAAGGCCCCCAATTCCCAATACGCCCACTCGGTCCCCGGGGCGAATGTGGTTCAAAGTCAAGACATTTCAAACAGTCGCACCTGCACACATTAGGGGTGCTGCGGACACTGAAGGGTAGTTGTCAGGGATCGAATAGATACAGCTTGCGTCACGAACAGCGCCGTGGCTAAAGCTCCCGCTGTTCCAATTATCTTGGCCATATTGTTTCTTGTTTCTACAATAGTGGTCTCGGCCTACCCGTCAAATTTTAACCGCTAGTTATCATACCCGTCACCTTCAAGAAGGAAGCTTTCCGTACCGTCTAAGCAGTTATCGCAAGACCCGCATACTTTCTGGACGAAAGAAACCCCGACCCGATCTCCAACACTGACTCTGACTGTTGTGACGCCACTCCCAATATGTTCAACCACTCCGATACCTTCATGGCCTAAAACAATACAAGACTTCAAAAACAGCTCGTCTGCTCCGCATACTCCGGAGTGCGTAATATCAATCAAGACATCGTTGGACTCCAGGCCAGGGTTTATTTGCTCCGAATATATTTCCTCGGTTTTAGAACCCCGGTAGACAGTGAATCTATTCATCTTTTCGTCTTCGAACCTGGTTGTCGATCACGAGCAACCGGCCGCTGATTGGCAAAGCAATCACGTCGATTCTGCGGACGAATATGGATGTTGAAGGGGGATGCGAGCTGAGAAGAAAGAAGAAGCGCAAGGTCGGAGTGGGCAGAGCGAGCTCCTCATCTGGCTGCGGCTACGGACGTATTTATTTACGAGTGATCCCACTTTAAATCAGACACCGAACGGTCTTTGAATAGCAACATCCCGCATAGACCAATGAGACCGAGACACCGTGCAGAGCAGAGGCCGAAACTACGAAGACGCATAGACGCCAGCTGCCAAAACCCCCTTAGGAGTGATGCCTTAACATCTGACTCTGACCTGGCTCTTGACCGCTCTTTACAATGCTCTATACAATGTAATATAAATTGTGACTTTGTATAATGAAGCTTTTGATCCCATACAAATATATGTATCTCCTATTTTGTAAGGTGGTCCACGGCCAGGACATCGGGTGCTTTGAAGGTGTACAATACGCACCCCCTGCCTATGGTGATCACAGGTGCGATAGGGATGGAGTTGCTAGGACAGACGTGCGTTCTTGGCGTGGAGAATCTACAGGATTCGAATGCGTACCGAGACTGTCAGCGGACAATCCACAGTCAGCTAGATGTAGGAGGCTTTCTTGCTGTGGAGCCACCTCATGAGGTTTCAGCTACTAAATAGCCAGGAAGCACCAGATAGGTCTTTATCTATGCTTATGAGGTTCAAAATTTAGAGCGGAATCGTCACTTTGTTTAAGCAGTTGTTCTGTCATCACAGTATCCAAAACAGAATAGCATTTTGTGCACCCAGCTTACTCTAGATCTGAGAGTGAGCTCCGATCCTTCCGATTTTTACGGATTCAGTTGGGCAAAAGCATGCTATGCTACGTAGAATTATTGAGTTAAGACTACCTCCCTACCCCAGGGCTGTCGAGCCGGATGATTAGGCATATTCCAACAGCTTTTCAATTTCCTTATCATTTGCTTTCTCACGGGTTTACCTGCGTTTGCTCGTTGACTTGCTTCTTCCATCCACCAAGAACCCCAGTTTTGAATGCGCTCCACACTCCGAGTCTGTGTGCTACAAGCTCATTATAGTCTTTCAAAGAGTTCGAGACCTCGTTTTCATCATGCCATGCATCGTTGTATGCAGGACTGAGACACATACATCCACGAAACGTGCCCAAAAACAGACCAAGTGCCGTACCTAATTCCTTTCCAGTTACCCAAGGGCTCTCTCTACCACGAATTGGCCGTGAGTTAGGATCACAATATTGTCGACGACACCCATGTTACAGATAGAGACTGATGGCGCCTCGTTCGGCGCTGGGACAGGGGGGATTTCGGGTCCCGCCGGATAGGCAGGGGTAGAGAGGGCCCAGTAATGCGGAACCAGTGAGATATGCTCCTTGTCATCACAAATGCCAAGATAATATTCTTTTACTTGCTCAACAATACCGAGGGACTCGTCTTTCTTGGTTTGGTCGTTGCCGTGTGCTTGCTCTTCGGTACTGGAAGGTACGGTCAAGCTTCGCTTTCAGACCAGGCTCTTGAAGATCTCTCAGCACAAGGGCTATCGCTGCGTGGTATACATGCGTCACGCTAGCACCGACCTCTTGATTGTCCGTAGGAGATTTTTGGACTGTTCAAGATCCAAGTTGAGCCCAACTCGTTGATGACGTCGGGGAACCACTTCTCCGTGTTGAAAGGCAACTTGGCTATCTCCATATCTTACGAAGGGAAGCGTTGGCTTCGGACATTTCTCTCAGTCGAAGCTGCTTTCTTGCTTCCAAGGAGGTCGGAATACAAGCTGCCACTTGCAATGGGGGGCTCAGGTTTAAGTGACAGAAATCAAAAACCCTGATATATTTATGTGTTTCAAGCAGAAAATGATCTGGGACTCACAAAGATGGGATATACAACTTTTCCTGTGATTGACCTCCTCAAAAACTTGAGCTTTGAATGCGACAGGCAATTGAAGACGCTATTTCCTACGCCTCCTGAAATTGCAACGTTAGTTCCAAACGCTTTCCGTTGAGGAATTATGCCATGCAGAGTTGGTCGATTTTCAAGTATACGTTGATTGCACAGGATGTTTGAGTGAACACCACGAATGGTTCATGGTTCCGGGTCTCTCCAGCAGATGCTATTGCAGTGGTTGAGAAGTGATCAAGCTGGATGAACTCTAGTCGATATGACCCAGCACTCGGAGGCCTCAAAGAAAAGGAAAAGCGCAGGATTTCAGCTATGGACGAGTTCATGAATGAACTAGCAGAGGCTGCTACATGAAAGGACCTTACTGTGGAAAGGCGTCTCTGAGAATGTCTAAAATGTGACTTGAACCCCAATCGAACGCCATGCGGCGCTTCTTTGCCCCTCCAACTATCATACTAGCCACACGGGATGGTGCTGTAACCGCAAAACCCACCTTGCTGGCGCTATGTCTGTTCCAAGAAAGGCACCGTTGAGGGCTTCACTGTAGATAGGTGCACAGGTATTGGGACATGGCAGATGGAGTTCGATAAGGGTCTCCCTTTCCGCGAGTGTGTACTGCCCTATAACGCAAGATGCACGTAGCTAATGTAAAGCAGACCTTTGCGGTCGGACTTTGCTCTTCAACCAGCTGCGAGTCCTTGAAGATTCACCAGAGGTTACTGGAGTCGAAAAGCGAAGTGGTGGCCAGCCGCCTTCCAGCGCGATTTTCCAGAACGCAATTCTAGGCGTTATACGTTCACCGACACCGCTCATGTCACGGTCACGTAGTTTATCGAATGGGCATATAGTGGGGACTATACTGACGTGAACTTAACGTCTGTCGACGAGCCTCGGGAGGAACAACCCAAAAATCCTCCCGAGTTAACAACTCTAGAGCCACCAGATGACTTTTCGGAAGAGATCAAGGTCTTACCTGCGCACACACTGCTATCTCGTCTACGTATTCAGCCGTGTTTATCAAGCCTTGAAGCTTAAGGAGCTGGCGTTTGATAAATTTACGAAGCACATCGTGGGTGTGATGTATTAGCTGAGCCAACATCGCCTGTCGAGAGAATAAAGAGCATTTAAACATTACAAACGTGAATATGGGTATAGGTATCTATCGAAACGCAAGGCGAAATAAACAAAACTGAGCAGAACCATCAACTCTCCGACTCCGGGTGCTTGCCCTGAACAGCATCGGCAACGCCGCCAGCCCAGTTCTTCAGGTCCTCAAATTTGTGCCAAAGAGTGCCCCACCAGGTCGAGCCCTTTTCGTCATCACTTTGATGGTCTGTGGCGGGTGGTGTATCAGCTGTTGAAGTGGGTTTTGGTGCTGGCTGTGCTGGTTTTGGTTGTGGGGGCACTGGTTGCGCGGGCCCTGCTGTGGCTGAAGTTTGAGCCGGAGGATCAGGAGGCGTGTCCAATACTGGTGCGTTCTCATCCGAGTGGAGGCCAACTGGCTTCAGCGGGAGTCGTAGTGTGCCATTGCCTGGAAGGGGTTCGACACCCAAAGAGTCGCAGACAATGTTGTACACCTCGATATTTTCTAGGCAAATTCGTTAGGTCGAATGCCAATCAATGGGTTCAAGTAGGTACTTACGGAAAACTTCCACCCGGCTATTTGGCTTGTGTGGGAAGGCTGGGCCGCGCGCAATAAAGATTGCACGCATCAATGGATGCTCATGGTCGTATCCGTGAATACCGCGAGGATGGTATTCTTTCCCGGTCTTCAAAGCCTCTTTAACGTCGAACTCTGACCGATCAACGATCGCCCACCCCGTCTTAGGGATGACCCATAACGGCGCAATGCGTTCGTTGTTCGAGAAGTGATACCGTGCAGGCATTGTCTCCTGTGTGTAGAATTCGAAAGCATGCTCGTAATCCGGAGCTACCTTCTCCAATTGTTTCCGGAGGGCCTCCAGATCCTCCGGACGCTTGGGGCGCAGACCAGCAGATGGCCACCCGTCGATATGTTCAATCAGATCATAATCAACCAAATCGTCCAACTGAATCAGCCTTTCTGTAGAGGTAGTGGCCATGCCGTGGTCTGAGACAACGACGATGTTTACCACATCGGTGAGATTGCGTTGCTCAAGCCCAGTCATAATGTTAGCAACCATGGTATCCGCTTCCAAAATCGTCTTTCGGATCTCAGTGCTATTAGGGCCAAATTTATGTCCGTCCCGATCGACGTCGGGAACGTAAGCTACGATAAGCTGCGGCCGCTCAGGTGTCACCTGCGATTCATCCTCAAGACCTGGAAGATCTAAAAATTCAAGGATCCGATCCACCTTGCGAGACAACACTTCCGTACCGTTGTATTTGTCCAAAAAGCTGGGTTCCCTGTCACCAATGTGCGCCTCAGACCCCGGCCACATATGAATGGCGGCCTTCACACGTTGCTTTTCTGCCGTCACCCACAGTGGTTCTGCCATCCACCACTTGGGTTGCATGCTGACAGCGGGACGAGTATAGTAGAAGTCCTCGTTTAGCTTCGGGTCCCAAAATGTGTTGCCTACAATCCCATGACTCTCGGGGTAGAGTCCAGTCATAAGTGTAAAGTGGTTTGGAAAGGTGACGCTCGGGAAGCTGGGGTTCATGTATTGCGGGGAAACGCCATTGGTGACGAGGGAGTTCAGAGCAGGAGTCAGGCCACGGCCAAGAAAGTCGGCTCGGAAACCATCGAGCGAGATGACGATAGTGGTTGGCGCAAAGACAGCTGTGCCGTTGGATAGCAAGGGTGGACGGTGTGCTCGTGAAGCCCGGAAACCGCTCGAGGCTTTATATGCCCCGAGGAGGAGGATGACGAAGAGAATGGTGACCAGGGCAATTATAAACAGCATTTTTCGCCATGAAGGCCGTGGAGGCTAGGCAGCGGACGTGTTAGCAGGGGGCGTAGAAACCAGCCACGGTACGTCTTACCGGCTCATATGTGTATTCGCCTTTCCTGTCCAAATCCAACGAGGATCCGCTCAAGAGGGAGGCATTATCGTCACCAATTCCCTCTTCCATCTCATACATCAGCTCTCCATCTTCACTGACCCTCTCACGACGTGAACCCCTCCGCTGTCGCCGCTCCTTTTTCGTCTTCCCAATCTTCACACGGCTACCATTTGGGCTGAAAATCCTCCGTAAACCCTGTCCAGTTCCACCCCGGATGAGAAGGTTCTCCAGCTCCTCTTCATCTTCTAGGACTGCCCGGTCGTGCTCTGCGATTTCCAAGGTGCTGCGGTTTTGACCGAGGAGGGCGTCATCGTCGGAATCGGAGTCCTGCTCGGAGGGCGACCGCAAGGAAGATGCATCGTTGTCGTAATTTCCAGGAGAAAGAAGAGAAGGACCAATGTCTGGACGGCGCATTGCTAGCCTGATGCAGACATGGAAAAGAGCTGAGATGGAGAAAAGGGATCGGAGAATTGCCAAGACCCGGCAATCATTTGCGATAAGCCCAATCTATGAGAAATGTTTACATATGTAGGTAGTCTACCTACATGTAGGTATGGAATTCCCTAAATTGTCTTATTACTTTGACAAATAACTGACGAGATTGTTTTTGAGAGCAATCCTTTAAGCTCACTGCATCAATTTAGAGTCACAATCGTTTGTTGTTCATGGGTTTGTATACATCTTGCTTATTACGGTTCAATAATAGTTCACTGAGTCTATGACAGACATCGCTGAGGCGTGCCCCGTCCCTAAGAGAACCTCGGCTTCCCCAGGCATTGTCCACATACATTCGTCTTAGAAAGATTGTCTGTTGATAGGTGGACAGCTATCCAAACATAACGTCAAGTTCTAACATATACTGAATGGGCTGGGCTAGCAGATTCCGCATACCACACATCATCTTTGAGGGGACCGAGAGGAGGGATGTTGGGGTCGAGTCGCTGAGATAGATATAAAAGAATTCTAATGGGATGTCACCACGAGGATACCCTGGTTTGCTCATCTTGCCATATTGGAACGTTGCGATGCCAGGCACGTTGTGACGGTTCAGGATGGAGTCGATCACTGGGTATAGTGGACAGATTCTTTCCTCTAGGGAAGGTACAGTCTCTATCTCTACCAGTCGAGTTAGTGGACTGGCGACACTGACCGATCGGTAGATTTTAGAGCATTCCACCGTCATCGTCATAATAGTTCCAAACATTGTGGTCTGTGACGCACGGAACTTTCAACTCTCCTATAGTTTTGAGCCTAGGAAGGACGAACGGGTTGGCTGCGATGAGGCCGCAGTCCGGGACTTCATCGTAAGCAATACCAGAATCTTTGAAATCACCGAAACTTATGCGATACCCTGGAGGCCATGTTCGTCCCCGAGCCATACCTTCTCACGGTTGAGGTCCCGCGAGACCAACTCGTGGTCGATCACAATTCTTGACCAGCATTGACTTTCGTCAAAGTTGTCCACATCACGTATAAAATTCTGCCATTTTCGTAAAGGCCCGACGAAAGAAATCTGATGTAGTTCCGATGACGTGGTGTGGTGCTGGCTAACACAGAGTGAAGGGAGAGCATCTATACTGAAGAACAAGAGTATATCCAGTTGTGAAAAACCAGAGCAGATGATCTTGCCCCTTGATATCCAGTTCGCAAAAAGATGGGTCCCAGAGGGGAATGGGATAATTAAATCCCCTCCCTTGATAGTTGGTTCCTGGCCTTTTTTTTCTCTCTTTGATCAATATCCTCTGCGCAATTTGAGGTTATGGCTGTTGGTTACCACGTCTATCCACAACTTGGCGCTGATGTGCAGTGATATAGGCGTGCTGTGGAAATGTCGTTCTGTCCGAATGTGATCATAGAAACCGGCTTCAGAGTCAAACTTACCTAGGTCTATATGAATGATTAGTCGAACTAAATGCAAGAATGCGCCGTAACTCACAACGTGTCTAATTTAGGTCTACAATACCTAAGGATAACAGGCGTGCCGTTCGAATCACCTAGCCAAACCGCCTTCGCGTCCACACTAGCCAGTAAGGTAGTGCGTTTGTTTCCGTCGTGAAAGGCATGGTTCTTTATAATCTTCTCAGAGAGATGCGCAGCAAGCTGAAAAGCATTTTTCACTTTTGCGTAATCTTTCACGTCCATCGACGAATGTACTGCAGACTCTAGCATGGCCGTATAATCACGAAGATAAAGGTCCGCGATACTGTCGAACCTAAGTAAGCGATGCGTTCGGCTCGCCATACCTTAAAAGGGTAGATGTCAGCGAGATCTTAGGTTCATCGAAGATGAAAATAACTTACCACGGTCGTTAGGAGACTAACATGGCTGTTTGATGACATTCTCTCGGTTATGATGAAGAAACGAGAAGAGAGGGATGGTTTACAGAGATAAGTGAGAGACAACTGAGGTTGAGCGGAGATAAAAGTGAAAGCATGCTCGGGAAAGCGCAATCCTTAATGGATTTATAGTGTGTTAATAACAACCAGCTTACTTAGGTAGCCGTAGTAAGTTGCCCGCTAATGGTCTATAGGAGAGTAAGTAAAGATAATTCAGGGTCTAACAGGCCCCAGAAGGGGCCTATACTCTTTTAATTGGCCAGTAAATCACTCGTACTCTTTATAAAGCATAACTTGGGTATCTCGAAGGACTGATATTGGGACATTATTGTTTCCTATCGTGTCCCCCAAACTTCAATATATCAAATCCATTATGTTACAGCCCATACATGGGGAGATCTAGGATAATGGCAGGAAAAGACTTCGAGAGGAGTTTTGCAGTCCTGTACAAAGATGTGTTAATTTGAGTCGCAAGTTGTCCATCTTGTTGTCTCCGCCATCGGCGGATCACCTACATTACGCAATAAACGGGACCGCTTGCTCGATTTCCACTCCCGCAGACGACATTGACCTTCATGTGAGCCTAAGATCAAACCCTATAGGGAGCCATCAGTCCTGAAGGAACACACATTCCACAGCCAGTACTTGGCAGCCACATTCCTCAAGTTGATCGCAAATGACGAAGATCGGACATTATGAACTTGACGTGAACACCGCTGACGTTTCCCGAAGACAGAGAAGCGGGGGATTGCAAAAAGTAGCTGCTTGATTATGTCCAAGTAAAATTTCGCAAGTTAGGTGAGCTGCGTTGATACAAACTCATTGGGTGCCGGATGCAGTTGCTAGGAGATCGGCGGGGCGATCAGCCCTACGCAGGAAGCGGCGTCGAGGTTTCAGGTGCCCTGATAACTGCCCAACGCTCCTATAGTGATATGAGGGAAGCGACATAGTAGCTGATTCTCAAGAGCCCTTTTTTTGACAATTCTAGTGACTAATGTTCTACCGGATGTAAAATGCTATTCACCTCTAGCAGTGATCTTCACGATCCAACAATAATTATGTGGGAGTATAACCCGTGGACGGGCAGCCACTCACTAACCTATCCATGGACTCTTGCTTTTGGGTATTCGGGGTATCCGAAGAGCTAAAGAGTCTCTCCACCCATTGTCTTCCAGAAGTCCATCCCTCCAGACGTGGTTTCATCGTATGATCCTGAAAGCAGGCTAAGTCACTTACAAACAGAATCCCCTTGACACTCATTGTGACAGATCCGCAGTGGATCTCTGTGGAATTCCATGGTGGTGGGGTGTTTAGCGCGGATCCATGGATGTCCGCTTGCAAGAGCATCACCTTCCTAATTGGGAGATTACATCACGTGACAGCACCCAACCGAGCCGTGTCTCCACCGTTCATCCGAACAGCAGCTTCGGAAGATCATGACGATATTGGCGTTCGGGCTTAGCCGATCCTACCAGCCCTGGAGCGGTTCAAAGTGGAGTCTAGATCAGAGCAGTGTGACGTTCACCCCGGATGCGGAAATCGGCCAGTCTCGCTTCCACTTTACCAAGGGTTCCCATCAAGGGCAGAAAGGAACATCGAGGGCAGAGGAACACCGAGAGGCACATACTATTTTAATATGAAAAATTTTCCTTCCAATTGTTCATGTCATCACCAATTAACCTTAATCAATATATTGGCCGGATTTGGACAACACGGCAGGTCTATAAGAATGGCGTCCTTTTCGCCTCCGATTCCTGCTCGATTTCCATCTCAATCGCACTGCCATTACCACCCTAGGTAAGTCCTGAAGCTATCTAACATTTGCTGTTACTAGCACCACAATCTGAAGAGCATGTATTAACCCAATCCCAGCTTCGTCGCTCGTTAAGACAGCAAGCCATATCCCACTTCTTAATCCAATCGCTTTTCCACCCTAATAAAAATGCACTTCACCGCCCCCTCCGTCGCCTTGTTGGCTCTCGCAGCTGGTGTTCAGGCCAGTGGCGCTAAGCAGCAGCACGAACCCCCCGTTCACAACGGAAAGGGTATCGCCAAGCACCAAGCTAGCGGTGCGACTGGCACCGGTGTCGTTCCTACCGGTATCCACACCGGTACTCACCCTATCGTGACCGGCTCCCACGGCAACGGTACCCACCCCGGTGGCAAGAACAGCACTATCGTCGGCACTGGTACCGCCCCATGCTACAGCTGCCACGGTAGCTCGACCATTCCTGTCAACGTCCCTACCAAGACCCATGGCGCTGGTGGTCCTTCCCACTCCGGTGGTGCTGGCGGCATTGGCGGTGGCTCTGGCTCTGGTAGCAACGGCTCTGGATCTGGCTCCGGTTCTGGGTCTGGCTCCGACTCTGGCTCCGGCGCATCCCCCACCGATTACGCCCCCTCCAACCCTGGCTCCAAGGTCAGCGCACCCCAGGTTGGAGTCGCTGGTGCTGTTATTGGCAGCATTGTCTATGGTGCCGTTATGCTGCTTGCATAAACGTCTCGCAGTTACTTAATGTCTTTTAATGCCGGGGTTTGGCTCTGGTGATGGCTGGGTGTCTCTTTCTTTCTTTCTGATATCTGATCTTGGAACTGGCGTCTGGCTAGACACTGATCCCCTGGAAGGTGGAAGTACTGGGATCTCCAGACAGGCGTTGGAGGATATGATGTTTAGATTCTATTTCTTGGTGTATTAATTGGTTTGATATTAATTTATGAGTACTTAATATGACTCTATTTCTAATGCAAAAGCTTATTTATGGATAATACCATCCAAGTTCGTCTTGATACATTCCTGTAGGAAAATTCACTGGGATATAATACTAACTAACACCAAGACCAACCTCCGCATCCTACTATACCTCCAACTACTCCATAGAAAATTAGAAATAGAACCCAGAGGCTCATAGACAAAAGTCTAATTGCCCAGTGGCAAAAATGCAACCCCAGTCATACAGCTAATAATAGAAGGCAGAACGCAATCGAGTCGTCCCTGCAGGGTCAGGTGGCGTGCGTCTCTAGCCGTTTACCAGGCTGCGAGCTTTGCGTTAGGGTTTGCATGTCCGGAGATTGGCTTGATTAAGGTTCCAGATTGACTTTTGCTTGATGCAACATGAGGTTTTGCTTTGTGGAGCTGTAGGAATCATCCATGGTTGTTACATTACGAGATATCAATAGATTCGTGGTGATTGTAGATTTGTAGGTTTCCAAGATTTGCAGGATTTGGGATCTAATTGTAACTTTGATTTTGAATTCTAGACCGGTAAGAGACATATCGCTATAGAAATGGAAAATGTATAGACACACTCTTTTATGAGCTTCGTCGTCTTTCGCAAAAAAATGAAGCAGAAAAGCCACCCCAAACCCCAAGCACCAGAAGAAGGCGCAATGCAAGGCAAATAGGCAAACAAACAATAAAAAGAGGTAAAAAAGATTCAAAAATTGCCACTCTTCTAGACATGAACACATCCATGCAACCAGAGACCAATCTAGTCCTACACACTCGAAATCCAATTCGTCCACTGACACCCACACCCCCCAGAACCACCATCAACACCACCCGCCTCCTCGACCGTAGCATTCATCGTCTCACCAAGCTTAAAAAGCCCCGCAGCCGGATTAACAAGTTCACCCCCAACAGCGCGGTCCTCGAGCTGCAGCTGCGCAGCCGTGATATTATAATGGCCGTCGTCTTCGATCGGGTAGCAGTAGACCATTTTCTTTTTCTCTGCGCCGCCGTGGCGGTCCACTGTTATCGTCACCGGGTACGGGAACGAGCCTGGACGGGAAAAGTCTGTTGCGGAGGAAGAAGATGTAGGGTTATTTGTTGATGTTGGTGTTGCGGATGAGGCGGTACTTGTTGCTGTGTTATTGGATTGAGGGAGGAGGCGGCGGCCGATTTTGTCGGGTTGGGTCCAGATTTGGACGAGGAGACGGGTCTGGGACCATGTGCAGCGGTAGTGTGCGTTGGCTTTTGAGGTCCCACCGTTTGTGTCGGCAGGTGAGGGTTTGATTTGAGAGGTCAGGAATATGGATTTGTCGAAGTAGCTGTAGAAGCCGTAGTGCTCGGTTGCCATGCCGCGGTTGTACAGGCGGATTGGTTGTGATGAGGGAAGGGGATAGAGCATTGCTGCGGATGGAGTCCCGTCTACATTTTCTTCTGGCGCGGGGATTATTGATGAGATGTTGGGGTATGCAGTGCCGTTGGGGGTGTCGAAGCGGCGGTAGATGCTTGCTGAGGAGAGGGAGACTGGTGAGAGGATGGACATGTAGAAGGGTGTTTCTTCGCCGGCGTAGGGTGCGGTGTTGTTGTCTGTGTATTGGCCGAGGAAGCCCCGCTCCGCATCGCTTGGGGCTTCGGGCGATGGGTTGAAAAGGTCGTCGCTCCTTATACGTAGATTCGAGCCCACAGCAGTGCTGTTGTCATATGTGCCATTGCGAAAGCGGATGGAAACACGGAAATTGGGCTGGTTCGCATCGTATGGCTCATTGGCATCCTGCTGGTCCTTGGGCAAAGCACAACTCCACATTGAAGAAGGGGTGATACAAGTTGATTTTTCTAGCTGCGGCTGCGTGCCAGCGAGTGTTGCAATTCCAGTCGGCATGGGTGGATAGCCTGTGAGGTTCAACCACCGCGATTGAACAGGAGTCTCGTCTCCCTTCCTTGTCAATGTGATCGCGAGGATAGTGGCTAGGATCACGATGATGAAGAAGAAAACGCAGATCACAAAATACCATCTCCGTCGAGTACGACCCTCGCGACCTGGACGTCCGCTCTTCTTGCTGAATGGTCCCCGGCCACGCCAGAGATTGCAAACCCTTCGGCCAGTGGATTCTTCCTTTTCCAGTCTGCGGCGTCGGGTCTCATGAGGTCCTATCGCGCCGCTTGGGTTGACGCTCGAAACTCCAGCTGTAGGGTCGTGAGTGTAACGTGGCTGCGTATCATAGCGAGGCGGGAGAGGAGGATCTCGAGGAAATTGCGTGTACGCAGGAGCCGGTGCCTGCATATCTGACATTGGGATTGAGCCAGGTCCACCAGCTGCGCGCTGGAAACCCGGAGAGATAGGCTCAGAAGGTTGTAGACGTCCATGAGGCGCAAGTTCAGGCCCTTGACCTCGAGACAATCCTTGTTCTGCCTGCAGCTCTTCTGATCTAGGCTGCCGATCCTGAGTCACGGACGCCTGGAATTGTTCTTGCTGAGGCTGAACCTCCAATCCAGTCGGCTGGGTTTGTGGCAAAGGCGGCACAGGGGGTGCATTCGAGTGAGGATGGGCGTTTAGACCAAATGGCCACCCAGATCCAGATTGCCTTCCCTGGATAACAAGCGGCACCTGAGGCTGTTTTGCACGCCCATAAGTTGGCTGCCGTGACTGGGGAGGAGCCTGCCCAGAGGCCACCTGCGATTCTTGAGGCGATGATTGTGTAACAGGAAGTTCTTGTGGTCCCCCTTGTGGAGAATACGCCCATTCGAACCCGGAGACGTGTTCTTGGCTAGCTGGCTGTTGAACCTTGGGTTGCTCTTGTGGTTGTTCTCGCTTTCCCCATGGCCATTCTGACCTTGGCGTTGCTATTTGAGGGGCTGGCTGGATCATCGGCGGGTCCGAGATTCCTCGCGAGAGTTCCTGCTTTTGCGGCTGTGGCAATATAGGCTCCGTTGGTTGTACAGGCTGCGAAGTGAATACGGGCACATACTGCACCGTTGGTTGCAGAGGCTGCTGTGGAGGCGAAGTGTAATGAAAATTAGTAACCGGGGGCGAGATATTCGTGATTATCTGCGGAGCAGGAGCGGGAGTTGGCTCAGGCATAGAAATAGGAGCAGGCGCAGGCGCAGACCTATCGAGCGCCTCCACAGGCGGCGCAGCAACAGGAACAGAAGCAGGGGAAGGAGCAGGAGGCGAAGCAGCGCGCTGAGACCGAGACTCAGAAACAAGCCCCCTAGTCCCGTGCGCCGACACCGAACCCTTTTCATCCTCATCAACAACGGACGAATCCCACGTATGAGAACTAAACTCGGACCCAGGCGACAACACCTGCACCTCCTTCGCACGAACAGCATACCCAGCCGGAATGGTCCCCTTCGTCTGCGGACGAGGGGAGTCGATATCAATAAGCAGACCAGCATTCTTAGTCGACGTCGACGGAACCGGGGTCTGGGTTCCATTTTCGCCTTTCCCTTCGAGACCAGATGCCCCAGGCTCGTCAACCGCAACAAGCGCGGGTCCCCGAGTATCACCTTCAGTTGCATTTATGGCTCCTGCTGGTACAGCAACCGGGTTGGCAGGCGTAATCGAGCAGACGTGGTTGATGCACTCGAAGTACGGCGTCTTGCTGAATAACTCGTGCGCGCAGGCTTGATAATACTCAGCTGCTTCGCCTTGGATTGTCTGGTTATTACTGGACATGAAGGACATGGTATTCTGTCTACTTGAGACGTTTGAGACGTATGCGGGTGGCGGGGATTGATGGCGTTCGGGGCCTTGGTATTGGTCTTGTTCGAATGAAAATGCCTTCTCGCCAATTGGGGCGGCTGTTTCTGGTGTATCTGGCGAAAAACACGATATCTCTTTCTCGCGCCGTATCCATTCTTTTGGCTGCGCGCGTGTGGTTGTTGTTGTCGATGGGGTCGATGGTGATTCTTGCGGGAAGGATGGGCTCAGTGGGGATTTTATAGATCGATTCAGGAGCGGGGAGAGGAGGTACGTCCACCAGCCTTGTGAATGGGGTCTGTCTGCGTCTGGTTGGGTGTTCACGCTGAGACGGCCCTGTTGCTGGCCCTTTGGGATTGGGCGCACTGCCTCTGGTGTCCGGGGTGGACTGTCGTCTTCCCAGATTGAAGCTGTCGAGAAGGCGCGCGCGTTCCTTTCTACGCCTAGTGGGTTCTTGTATCCAGTCTCTGACGCTGGAGCTTTGATAGCAGCTGAGTGCTGTATGGGAATGGCTGGCACGGGTGGTACATCTGTTTCATATTGCCAGAGGCGGGGCGTTGGCTGCGAGTAGATACTTGATGTTGCTCTTGGTCGGAGCATCTCAGTGCTCGAGTTTGAGTGTGCGTTCCATGGTGCGTCTCCTTTTGCTGGCGTGACGATAATGGATGGTGTGAGCGGCGTACCTGCGCCGTCAACCTCTTGTGATCTTTCTACTGACTCGCTGCGAGGCACAGTAAGTCCGATCATGACATGGCGGTCTGATGGCGAGATCGCATTCTCGTGTTTGTCGTGGAACGGATCTTCATCTCTGGCGGTAAGAAACGAGGTTCCGGTTCCATTCTGGCTGTGGTTCTGACTCGGCACCGTCTCAGGTAGCCGCTGGAATCCGCGTGAAACCCGCTTCTTGAATATATCCTTTGATTTCTGAGTCGAGCGTTCCTTCTCTCGGACTTTCGAGAGGAGCTTGAGATCATTCAGATCGACGAATGGTGCAGCCGCATTTGTCTCTGCGGGAATCGACTGTTTCCTCGGCGCCGGCGCTAAGGTGAAATCCGTAACGAGGTTCAGGCCGACTGGTTTCCCGACGCTCTTACGCTTCTTGTTGATGCGGATGTTAAATCTCGAGGCTTCGCGGGTGGAAATGGGCGAACGATTCCCATCTTTGGCGGTCTTCGCCTCGAGCTTTTGTCGCGTTGCCTTGGATAGAAATGCAAAGGGTCGGTCTCGTTCTTCCTGATCTTCTGAAGAGCACGACGGACTTGAGATCTCTTCGGTGATCGGCGAAGATAATGGGAAGTTTGGCACTGGGACCTGCAGGTCCTGGGGTTTTCGTTTGATCATGACGTTTCAGTTGACTTGACTGTGTCGAGAAGTTAGTTTGCAGAAATGACAAGATTCGATTATTACATACATGCGACACAGCAAAGCATGAAAGGACGAAAGTGCAGGAAGCGAAACAAAGAGGGCGTCTATTAATATTATAGCAAGTAAAACAATGGGGAGAGGCAACAATAGACAATAGCCCTGAATAGAAATCGATTGAATCAAATGCAAAACAAAAGAAAGACAAAAAGACAAACAGAATAAGAAAAGCCCCGAGATTTAAACCCGGCAAGCTCTATTTCTAAATTTCTGCATGTCTGCATCGTCGCAGTACAGAATCAGAGTCCAGGCCGGTCACTTTACAGCACAGCTCAAGCTATAAACAAACCGGCCAATAATCATCGTCGCTGGTGAATTTCTGCAGCGATCCCACACAACCTGCTGCAGCTTGTTCCGTGCTGCTTCTTCAAGGTCCGTCATTGGACGACTGACAGAGAGATCACCAGGGGAAGGAGAAATGAAGGTGATGGATTGGATGCAAATGTCAGGCCGAGCGTCGCTACGCGCCGGACCGGGGGGCGGGCGCTACGAGAGGCCAATTAGTGGACGGACAGAAATAGATCAGAGTCATGATATTTACAACTTATTTAATACTTATTTAAAGCAGGATCTTTTCTGAAACAAGTTGTTTTCGTGCTACTGTTTATGTTAGGTCTGGTCTATATCGTCTATGTCATTTGCGTTGATACTCCAGTAGGCGGGAAAGAGATGCTTTTTGAAGGAACATGAATATCCATATTCAAGTCGTTCCAGCTATTCCATATTCATATTCCATATTCGCTCTCGTATTCCATGTAGAGTGGTCCCAATAGAAAAAAAGAAACAAGCAAAGCAATTGCGGGTATGAATAACAAAATATGAGAAAACAGAGACCACTCCATAAGATCAAAGATCAAACCAAATCAGTATAAACCAACCCCGAGTCGAAAAAGTCGAATGGGGGTCGCATCTATAAGAGGGATATATGAATACCAAGAGAACAAAGTCCAAAACAAAGTCGTAGGTTTTGCGTGACTAGTCATATCTCATACACAGCTTCAGCTTTTCTTGCTCACGCCACAACCTCCCGCTACCGCCGCTCATACTCAATGCCCTGCATAGGCGCACTCGAGCCATTTATAAGGGGCGGTAACGTGCGCGGCTGCTCCTGAGTCACGCCATTGCCGAACCCACTGAAGACAGGGCCCTGGCCATTGACCGGGTTGGAGCTCATTTGGTGGTGCTCGAAGATTGATGGGGGGCGGGAGACGCCATTGGCTTGCTGGTTGAGCTGGGCGCGCATCTCATCCATCTCGGACTGCATGACGGCCCGGTCGCGCTGCGATTGCGCGACGGTTTTCTCCAGCATGGCTATATAATCAATTGCCCGTGTCAGTGTTTCCCATTTGCTGGATTTGTTGGTCTGGCCCGGTGGTAGGCGCAGCCGGAGCGCTTCGAAGCAGTCTTTCATTTCGCTGCGCCGTTTGCGCTCCGCTAGTTTGTGGGTTACGCGTAGTTCGGGCGTGCGGCTGTACGGTGTGCTGCCGGCCGGTCCATCTTCTTCGCCGATCAACTCTCGCACTGCCTTGTGTTGGAGGGAGTGGTGGTGGTGTACATTTTGGGGTAGGTCTGCAGGGAAAAGTTGTTAGTATTGTTGCGCGTACAGTGTGTTGTTTTGGCTGGATCTTACCGTGTTGTCCTCGTGGCATCCGTTCCGAGTACATGCTATTCATAGACTCCGCCATGCTACCTTTTCGGGAGAACGGGCGGTCGGACTCTCCCTTCGAGGATACGGAGCTTGAGCGCGCCATGTCCGGGTCCGGGAAGGCATATGCCATACCCGCCGTGGGTGCTTCAGCGTTGTAAATCTCCGACCGGGGATTCGAGGAAATGGCCGGAGCAGTGCGACCGGCTGCGAAACTCCGCTGTTGGTCGGTTGCGCGAGGGCCCAGTGGAGAGAGTGGCTGACTGCCTCCTGAGTACCGAGGTCCCCGATATGAATTCATGTCGGTCGGAATCCCTCGCTCCCTTTGTAGACTGGAAACAATCGATGATTGGGATGCATTGGTGCTGTGGTAAGGCGAGGCTGGGTTGATAGCCAGAGAACTGATTCCCTGGTTCATGCGACTGTCGACACTGCTGCGCCGGGATTCGGTCTCTGCCACACTTGCTCGTTGAGAGGGGGCTTCATAGTTCTGATTGATGGAGGGGAGGGTGGAAGTCGGCTGGCTAAAGTTTGGAGAGGGTTGTTGAGTGCCGGCGGAGGAAGGGGTGGTGGATTGCTCGTGGGGGTAAGGCGATCGGTCGACAGCCGGGTGTCCGCGACTCGGCGAGGGTTGCGACGCGGATATGAAGCTGAGGCAGGGATAATTGTTGCCGGTGCCATTGGTCGCCGTGGAGTAGGTGGACGATCCTACATGGTCAGCACCGCGCCGCTCCCATTCCATACTAGGTGAGGGTCTCCTACTTGTGCTTTGCGGCATTGACCAATTCCCCGAGTCACGCTCAATCGTGTTCAGTGAGGCATTCCCGGGGGATTTCTCCGCTGGGGCTCCGGTCCCAGGCATATTCGCGGTGAGGGTCGAGATAGAGGGGAGGGTTTGTGTTGAGCCTGCACTCGACTGAGGCCCTGAGACCGCCTCCCATGGGCGATGTGCGACAGAAGGATCCATGGTGGGAGTCTGAATCAGGCGGGGGAACAGTGAAGAAGAATCGAATATCAACCCGCTCTTTCTTTTCCCACACTATTGCATATTCCAAATCGAGAGGGTAGAGATTGAATTTGAGAAACGATTCACCGTGAAACTGTTTCGTTGCGAGGGTGTAAAGTTTCGAGGTTCGCGCAAGGTAAAAAGGAAGGCTAGATCGCAGGTTAGACGTAGAGACTTCAAGGCAACACAGATCAAGCTTACCAAAGGCAAAGAGTAAAGGTATTAGTGTATATATGGATATTAGGAAGTAGAGAGGAAGTAGAGAGAGTCGAGAGTTGGAGAGTCAAGAAGAGTAGAGGAGATTAAAGAAGTAGAAAATTGGAGACTCGAAACCCACCTCGAGTCTCTGAAACTCCTCTTTTCTTTTTCTTTAACCTTCTTTTCGGTATCCCCTTTCTTGAGGAAAATAATATTATAAATTAAGAAATAAAAACAGAATAAAATATAGAATTATACAATTATAAATTATGAAAAAAAAGGAAAAGAAACAATTCCAAAAGAATGTACTGGTATTACCGCCAAGGCCCTACTGCAACTGTGTGTGCCACGAGGCTGACCCTGAGGACTATATGCTTTCTTTGCCTTATTACTCTATTAACATTAACGTATTCATTTCTATTAATGCTCTCTCTATTCTGTCTACATCTTTACCTATCTACATGCCACTATATCATCGCATTCCTGAAGAAAGATCCCTGGGACAAGCAAGGAGAACACGTTTTGCAAGTCTTCACGTCATTTTCAATTTTTATATACAACATTGAATGTGGTAGAATACTATTGTTACAATACACCCCCTTCACGTGGCTCTCCCTTGCCTCTTCCAACTTATTGACTCCTTCTCTTTCCATCCAGTCAAGCTGCATTGGCGACCGGGGCTAACTGCACAATCCCGCTTGGGAGATTAAGTACCGTACCCAAGTATATATATATGTGTGTAAAAAGAAATTGACGTTGGACACATGGCGTGAGGATGCAGGGTTGATCGGCAGTCTCGGGGGGCAAATAGTAGCAAATAGTAGCAAATACATAATTTCTGCTGTTCGGGAGATTGGGCCAAGTACGAAAGTATCAGAAGTTCATCCCTGTTTAATCCTTGTCCTCCATGCGATGTCTCTTCTTCAGTCTCACACATGGCATCTTTTAGGGTCTCCTTTACTCACCGAGGGTACGTTTGATCAACGTATATTATGTATTTTTATCTTATACCTTGTTGACTACACTAATACTGTTTATAATCATTAGTTCAAGATCAGTCCAAGGTTATAATTAGTATTATATTACCTCTAGCTAAAACATGATCCACTTTCTCCCCTACATATTTTCTGTTTGTAACACCTCGGACACAGGCAGAAAGTCATCACGCTTCCATGAGCTTGAGCTTCATACCGTCTGCAACCACCCGTCCCTGCCGCCCAAATCATCACATGTTGACCTGTCAGAGAGAGTCTTTAGGGTAGTACAGAGTACGATGTCGCGCGGCTATTCTTCAAATTCACGGGGCTAAGGGTAATATCCCGGTCCCGAACAGTTGTGACCTCGTCTTGGCGAAGATGACCAATGTTCTGGATCCAGATCTACGCTATTTATTGATCTACTACAGGTGTCAGGTACTATTCCATAGTACAACATAGTCTAGTCTGGCATTTTTGGGAATATCATTATTTGAGACATGGGGTATTACCCAAGGGGATAGCCACCTCCGCTGCAATCGCGACACCGCGTTGCGTGAACCAGGTGGCTTTTTGGGTTGATGTATCGCTTTCATTTCAAGTCTGTTTGATCGGGTGTTCGTCCAGAAATAGATATAGTCCAGCCGTTTGTAACATGTAAACCTGTATGGAGTATAAAATACAGAAAACAAAAACAAATCGAGGCCCAACCGATGGTCTCGCCAACACCGCCACACTGTGGCTGCAATAACACGTCGTCCTATCCACATTGCACTGCACGACCTCTAGGGCTATACAAACCAATTTAGGCAGCACAGATTCAATACAATAATAAACCTATGCATGTCAAGTACCACTGTCCATCATCTTCCCCTTCCAGCATGCCACATGGCACCATCGTTGCCTTGCAGAATGTCTCGAAGATCGCCACCCGATCTACGGCACATTCCTCGATCCTCTGACACGGTAGCACTTCTCCATACTTGAGGGACACAGTTTATCCAAGAGCCCAAGCTCAATCTCTGCCAAAGAGCTGGTCCCACGGGGAAAAAGTCCAAAAACAAAGGTCCATCGGGAACGGGAATTCTGAGTACCACTCTATCTCTACAACGTTGTACACCCTCGCCTGCCTAATCTCGATCAAGGGATGGACTAGTTGTCGCGCGAGCTTAGAGTTCGTTATGTCAATAGTGCGTGGCGCATGCGAAATTCCTCCTCTCCATGGCTCATGGCTCACCCATGCCAAATCCCCGTGCTCTCCCATCCCATCTGCTCGGTGCCATCATGGCAATACCGTGGCCCTTGCCCATTCCTGCCTCCACGCCTTTTCGGTCGTGGGTGTGGGCCGTGCCTTGCTGCCCTTTCCCAATAGCCTGTCTTGATACACGGGTCGCACCGTCCATGTAGGTACCTTTTCTCCTTTGCCTCTTCCAATTCCAATTCTAATTCCAGCTCCTGTTCCCTCGCATGGCAATAGCCCCCTCGTGCAAATAATGGACTAGACAATGAATTCATTCGAATAATGTCTCCACAGTCTTCGGAAAAAGTCTCCCGCATCTAATCCGATCCCGTCCTCCATGCGTTCGCACTACTACCTATTACTTGGCTATACAATGTACAGAGTACATTGCACATACCTGTCTATTTGCATATGTATGTACGGAATACTATACGGAGTAAACCGTACCTCCCAACTCAAACTGCTGCCCTGCCGACGATCCTCACACCGGCTCCCGTTCCCCGAAGCTGGGGAGCGTACAGCCAAAGCTTAGAGGTTACATGCAGACAAGGTTGAGAGAGATCATACCGGGATTTACAACTAGAATGTGAGCACAGATGCAGTAATCAATTGTCATCGGATATCCACTGAGATCAGAAACCTCCCGTCTTGCCCGTGATTTCCAGCGTGTTCCCCCAACCACCTCCGTAGCACAACTATTTTGTACCCACCTGGACACTAAGTATTGTTAGCTACCCTACTGGAAAATTGACGCTTGGCTTTGACGTGTCGTTTCTAGCTCCACCAGTGACGGAAATAACACCGAAATGGCTTCCCACTTTGTTCATACCTGGTTCCGTCCAATATCGCCCAACCTCGTCCGCTATAAAATGCCCTTTCCCAACCCCCCTTATACATGATATTACCATAGTCCACTTGGATCTTCCAGATGACATACAATCTCAAGCCTGGCTTCCACCACTCCGAACGACCGTCCGCCTCCCCAAACTCTTATTCCGTTGCGCGAGGTTCCATGTCTCAGCTTCAATATCATCCACACTGTGAGTGAGCATGATGTAGCCTCCATCATCCAGCGCGAAAAGAGCCTCCTTGAGCCAAACCCGGCAAGTGATTCCCTCGCGGAATCGCACCGAATTGACGATCGGGATTTGGTGAAGACGTTCGAGAAAATGCGCGTGCAGGATAGGGTCCAATACTCCTATCTTAAGGGCTCCAAGTAGTGCTTGATCATCACGACGGTCCGCTCGGGTAGATGTTCGAAGCGCCAGATGGTTGGATCGATGTCGTTAAGCAAATGGTAGATAGTGCCTGATGTTGTGCTCTGGTGTAGATAGAGGTGCCAGTGAAATGTGTAGCTCTTGTCACCGCGGTTGGATAGGAGGATATACAGGCCGTTGACTTCAAAGGTGAGATCTGGTGCATATATGCCGGACTAGTCCCCCTCTGCTGTCGACATATTAGATGCTTGTGGTAGTCGTGTGTTACTATGGTAGGAGCGATGGTTTGACTCTAGTGATAGTGGGTTAAAGGGAAGACATAAAATGGCTTATGTGTGTGTTTTCGCCTAGTCACTTTCTCGTTCATTGTCATGATGCTTATTCTACATACAGCGCTTAATCCGAGTAGTTCATTGGTTTGGTCTGAGCTTCACGTTTAAGTTAACACCGCAGGGCGCTAATAAGGCGGACTAGTTGAGCGCATCCCACAGCCTGGAATAATGGCTATTAGTCTAATAATGGATCAATTAGAGGAACTAAAGGAACTAAAAACAACCTTGTTGGTACTTAGACCCGCAGAAATGTAATGCCTCAGGCTCTCAGGTGTCGATGGATCCATCAATGGCCTTCGGGCCACTTTTCCCCAACCTCGGCCCATCCCGTCGAACTGAAGTGCATTAGCATATCATCATCGAGAATAGAGACGACATTCAGAGCGACGCGTGATATGGCTTGAATCCACCCCGGCTTTCAACGGATCACTCCATCTAGTGGACCCCTCGGGACGAGGCCACTAATCTGAAATATGCTGCTTGCTGCTCCGTATATCTGCCATTCTAGGAAAGGATTCACCACAAGCCTTGCAAATCAGAACGCGGTCGAAGGCAAAATCTTTCAATGTTACCGTCAATCGAAAGCGAGGCCCCTGCTGCCTAAGCCAACAACCAAACCTTGGAATCACAACAACCCGAATCGAGAATCGCAACCATCCACGCACGTCGTTTATTGCTGGATCAGAAGCCTTCGTGTATCCATCCGACCATATCCACTCCGTACCTTCACCCCCGATAACCAGGTATGATTGGCAAATCATTCCACGATCTCCCTCTCCTTGGAATCATCGTGGCAAACCCCTTGCCTACCACAAACCCCACTTGGGTTCCATCCTGTTCTCTTTCTTGGTTTAGGTGCTGTCGCGTGTCCAATATCAAAGCTCTGTAGGAAGGGGTGAATTCAATACATAGTCCTGGTGGAGTAGTTATGTATTCCCAAACATGTCCTGTCTTGCATCTCGAGAATTCCACGGGGAATCGTCGCCGCTTCCTAGGTTAC